CAAGCAATCGACTTTTGTACAAAGTCTCCCTCTGGTAAATATTAATAGTAGCATCAAATACGTACCATTAAAATAAATATAAAGAAGCCTTTATTCTGCGCTTAATATTATACAAAATTTGTGATTTTAATCAATATTGCATGCATACATTTTTTTTTTCACTAAAATAAATTATATATTATAATTGTATTATTATTTTTTTGTAGAATTAATTAATAAAATCGTAAAATTATATTATCAAAATTATATGTTATATATATATATTATTATTTCCATCAAATTAAATCTCGTAGCACAGAATGCCTTGTGGTAAAGGCCTCCTCCAACTTCTTCCAATAATTTCTGTTCCTTGCTGCTCTACTCCAGCGTACCTACTAATACGTACCATTAGTGAACGAAAATTCATTCAATTTGTATAACTGTAGAATATAGCTAAAAAAATATTTGTGGGCATAATATTTATGATTTATTTTACATATGTCTAGGATACCAGACGTCTGGCAATCTCCTGTATAAACAAACCTTGATATTGACTACACATCTACAAATAAAAAGGTACATCGAGTAGCTGGATATTAGATAAACACACCTTTAAGGATCGAATCTTTAGGTAGTATTTATATTTTTACGTGAAGCGTATTTTTCTTTTATTTGGGCGCGATAGTGAAAAGATATTAAATATAAAAATCTAGTTTTTTTTATAGTAAACTAGTAATATTTATGTAAGTTGAGTAAATATATGACAATTTACTATATCTTTCGGATTATATACTTGTACCTATAACATATTTTAACAAAGTTAGGACGTCTCTATTTGATAATCATGCATTAATTTTCAATGTTTAAGTATATATTATTTATTACTATTATCATTTTTTATTACTTTATTTTTAACCATATTTACTTTTCGTAGAAATAATTATTGACTACTATAGCTCGTTCCACGTGTAAGAGTAACGCCCTCTGGTGTGAAGAGATAATGATGGCTTTAATAGTAAAAATATACAGTTGCAACATAGACTTCATCAAATCTAAAAATTAAGTATTTTATATATAATAAACATGTAACATCTAATTAAATATATTGGACACAATTATATACTATCTATATTATATACAGATATATCTACATTATATATAGATACAGTCTGGCGTTGTTTGGTCAATGCTGTGTTTGCGAACAAATATTGCCGCCCGTTTGTTTAGACCTGCCCGGATTCAAAGCTAGAGATACAGATAACAAACGCCAACAATTCTCCAGTGGTAATGTTAGGCTTAATTAAATTGTGAATAGCATGTACAACTCCGTGTACACAATATATTTTAAAAAAATAATTTTGTTTTTTTCAATACCGTTTCTGATTTGTAGAATAATTATTGATAAATAACTAGTCCATTTTGATATTATAAAAGTTACTTAGTGTTGTTTAGATGTTTAATAATTTATCAAACTAAAATAACTGAATACATTTAAAGAAAATTTGTTACATGAGTTAACTTCTATTTTTATAACTTTGAATTAACACAGAATGCTTATAATCTTAGATCATATCAAATGATATGGATATCAAATCTTTAATAGATATCAAATTGTATGTCAAATGTCAAATAATGATAAGCTTGGAATATCATTACTCGGTGTATGTTATATATATATATATATATATTATATATATATATATTTGATTGTGTATATATTATATATGTATGTGTATGTATGTATATATGTTTGTATATGATAATATTTATATAATAGTGCGCCTACCTACCTACCTACCTACCTACCTTTTGTCTTTTCCTCGATGTCCTCTACCCAAAGGTTGTCTGGAAGAGATTGCTTAGCGATAAGGCTGTCTTTTGTATCACTTCTCATTAATATTTACTGTATTTGTTATTTCTCTTTTTACTTGGTGCAGTAAAGTGTAAATAAATAAATAATGACTCAGTTAATTTCATAAATTTTATAAACAGAATTCTACGCTCTGAGTCAAGTTGATTGAAACACATAATTTGAAAGGGTAAAGCCCTAAAGACGATAAACAGGGATTAACCTTGCTAGATGTGTTCACCACATAGGTTTACTTGTTTTGAGACTTGTGAGAAATTATGTCAAATGTTAATCAGAAAATTGTATGAAATGTATAATTTAAAAGAACACATTTGCGAAACACGAAATATTTAATTAAAGAAAACAAATAGAGTTTACTGAAGTTATTGTGTTACTAAGAACTTGATATTAAATTTAATATTCTTGTTTAGTTTATCAGATGTTTATTTTTTCTCTTCTTTTCGTCTTTTTTGCAGTTGTCTCTCTGTCTCTGTCCAAAAGAATGGTCTAAAGATAAGTATCAGTCAGATTCTATACATCATCTTTATGTTCAATAGTTATGACTTGGACAGTTCTCCTAAAAGTCTATATATTTAAAGGAAATAGTAATAATCAAATATACCATATACACAGCACTGTGTATGTATCCCGTTAGTGACGTACTTTGGCTCAAAAATTTCAGGATTACTAAGATCACGGGATTTTTTTTTATTTAAAGTGATACGAATGAAGCGGTCAAGCTATATCTATTGTTTCATTCTACTGATTCAATTTTCTGTTGTTCTACTCCATTATAAAATTCATGCATGAACATTTTCTGAACCTACTGATATAATAAGATGCAGTAGTCCCTGTATATATTTTTTTGTATACACATTTTTCTTTTTATTTATTATTTATTTATTTTCTGCCATTATATATGTATGTATAATTAAAGTGGTCTGGTAAAACGTAGCAAGCCAGGCCCCCAAAAAAAAAAAAAATTAAAATTTGTGAAAACGAATATACAAAATAAAATGTGTGTGTGTGTGTGTGTGTGTGTGTATGTGTGTGTGTGTGTGTGTGTGTGTGCGCGTACGTGTGTGCGTACGTGTGTGCGTACGTGTGTGCGTGCGTGTGTGCGTGTGCGTGCGCGTGTGCGTGTGCGTGTGCGTGTGCGTGTGCGTGCGCGTGTGCGTGTGCGTGTGCGTGCGCGTGTGCGTGCGTGTGTGTATGTGTGCGAACGTGCGTGCGTGCTTGCGTTATAATAAGATATTGAAATAACAATATATATTTAGTAGTCCCTTTATATATTTTTTTGTATACACATTTTTCGACAGTTATTATCTTACATAGCTTAAATAAACATGAAGTAATCGAGAGATCAAAAATATAGTAATGCAGTATAAAAGTACCCTCAAAGCAGATTACCGGTGTACAAGTTGTTCCGTTTACGAATGTTCCAATTTCGTAACCGGATGTGTTTTGTTTCATTTATATGATCTTGTTATTTGTAAACGGATATAGAAAATATCCGTATGTACCGTTTCTGGTGCGAACTTGTTGAATTACAAAGGAAACTAGATACTACGTTGATATTTTCACTACAACAATGTGTATGCGGGTCTTATCGAAAAGTAGTAAATGGATCAGGTTTTATATTCTGCATACAAATGGGCAGGAGGAAAGGAATATTTTGTTTTTTGCTATCTTACATATTTTACAAATAGATTTATATACAAATAGATATTTTTGTTATTATATAAAAGTACTTCAAAATTGTGTAACCAATATAATAATACAGATAACAAATAATAATAAGAAAATAACTGGTTGTTAGTAACCAGCCATATTATATTATTATTAAAAATAAGTAGCCATTTTTTAATGAATAGTTAAAGAAAATGTTAGCTAATTAAGTTATTGTAACAAAAAAAAGTGCTCCTAAACTTAAGATATTATAGTTTTTACTCTATTATTTTAGTTACTTCAGTTCTTTTTTATTATTTAGTTTCTCTAAAATAGCTTACAGGGTTAAAATATCTAAACTGACACAAACCTAATCTAAAACGACCAATTCGAAGTTGAATGTTCCAATTAAAAAGGACCATAAAAAGGACAATTAAAAGCTTTTGAGGTAAAATTGCCATCATTTATGACCGTTACCAACAGTGGTTTCAAATAATAATACCAATTGTTTTTCGATAACGTCATTTTCGACATTCGGTTGTATCAGTGTCCAGACGCTGGTGATGATCTTACAATGGATGCGACGTTAATTGCCTGTCAGAGACACAAGGTTTAGCTCGTTTATTCTCGTAGCTATAGAGTAAACTCTATAAGCAAAAACATCTGTAAGTGTACTCGAAGTTTACATTTAATATTGATTTTATATTGTAGACTGCCATTCACTGCCTCAGTATTTTTTCAATGATAATTGAGTAGATATAAAATAAAATGTTTATTAAAATGCCTCTATTTCAGGGTAAATTACATGTTATTAAACTTTTTGGAAGTCTAAATTTATTTACTGTTCGAGATATTCATTTAAAAATGCCTATTTAAAATAATAGTCAATATAGTAAATTATTAGTCTGCATGTTATTATAAATAAAAAGTATCCATTCAATTAACATAATTTTCATCAAACGTATGTATACCGATAATCCAATTAAGTCAACCTATAAAAAAGTTATGCACACAAAGATACCTATGCAAATACAGACGAAGGCTGCAAGCTTAAAATTATAGTATACATCAATATTTTGTTTACTGCAGTAATCTCGTTTCGTACTATTGACGTAAAACTACTATTTCTAGCTAAAACCTTCGCTTTAAAAACAGAAATATTTGGACTTTCTACGGTAATCTATAACATAAAGGAGGAAATTAGTATTATATAAGTATGGAAGTCGCACTAATTGAATATTCATGTACACAATACTATTTGCATACGTAGAATTTGAATAACTTTAATAATTATATAAATATCTGATTAAAATGTTTGAAATTATAGGCGTCAAATGAAAGACATTTCTTTCGCTGTGTTAACCGTTCATAAAATAAGATAATAATAGATAAGATAAACTAATAATCGTCTGGCAACGGTTATTAGTGGACTGTATGAAAATTATTACGATGATGGTAGGTAAATAATGAACACAAGAGGACAATGAAGGTGGAGACCACTGACCTGAAGCTTTGTAGTTAGCAGAATTCGGTTCTGGCTTTAGGCTTCCCAGAACTTCTGGCTCGTTTGAATTTACCCTCAGATCCGGGTTACCTACCCACCGCCTTGAACTGACCAGCAGTGCAATGCCCTCCTCTCAATCAGCCTCTTGGTTATGTGTTATATAATTAAAAGCGATACGAAACGATATATATTGATTTATACGATATTCGCGGCAATATATGCACGTGCGCAATAATATTCGAAAACAAGAACGACGACAACGAACTCACGTTCTACCGACACTTTCGATAACAATAGACAAGACTTTTTTTTTCTTTTTTACGATATTGTTGCCAGGCGAAATTTATTAAAGCTACAATTCTTAACACGCTATAATTTAGATTAACAAATTATTAAATGCGCTGGCACGGAGAAAACAGTGAGCTCGTATCGACGTTGACAGAACAGATACTGTCTAATCGAATGTGATTTTTAGATGATAATAAAATATTTTAAAGTGATAGCCTATCTATAGTATTTTTTTTACGATATTAACAACCAACCAATACGTAATAGTAGGTAAAAATATAGCCTGTGGGTCGTCGTTACAAGTTTCATAAACATTACTTTGTTAAATTTACTCTTTACTTCAATAACAACACACAAAATGCGATAACCGAAAAACAATATAGCGGTTGTGTTTTTATGATCCATTGGAACAGTAATTCAAAAATGAATCTCATTAATAACAGTATTAAGAACAAAATGGAACAAACACAATACTTTGGAATAATGGAACCCATTTCCGATGTTTCGGGTGTACGCCAAAGAACAGCCGTTTGCAGTTTTCTTTTATTTGAAAATTGAAAAATATTGTGTATAGGATAATACAAATTAGTTTGATAAAAAGTTATTATTTAAAAATAGGTTAAATAAAATATTAACACTATACCTCTCATAAATCATCGTCTCACCATTGGGGATGAGAAGGATGTTAGCCTAATACTAATATCAGAGTTTTATTTCGAATTTAATTTTATTACTTTCTTACTTTTATTTCTCTAATCCTTTTTTATGACATACTAGAGATGAAGAAATAAAAGGAATAGTGAATAAATAAAAGGAAGGAGTGGTGCGATTATTATTTTATCAGCACTCGGTAATTCTGATTATTATCTTAGATTTATTATCTTCTATTAACTTCTAACTTCCTATCAACATTTTATACAAATCAAATTTTATTAGTAGATTACTAAAAGAAGAGCAATTTGTATGTTGAACATTGAGTTTTTAATCAAGTTTGTTTTTTACCTTTATCTTTGTTTTATTACTCTGTGCATTGGAGTTTAAACGATTATTTGTTTGGGAACCGCAGGACGGGGCCGGATTTTATTTACGATCGACCCAATAAACTGGACCTGGGATATCCGTTCGGCTATTTGGAACGTGGACGCTTAATTTAAGCATGTTAATGAAAAGGTTTGTAATATATAATTATAATTTATTTAATTGAATGTGACCTCCGTAATGAGTGTAAATATAAGGAAAAATTACAAAGGGACTTTCATTGTCACTTTTTAAATTGTTCATATTTTAATATATTTTTATAATCTTGTTTAAAAAAAATCAAACATCTATTGAGGTTTTTTTTTATTTATTATTTGCAAAGAAAAATAATTCGTATTGAAAACTACATGGCAAAATATATCAGGTACCATTACAGTTTAAAAATATAATAATATGATTATCTCATCTTCTTATCAACCGTTAATTTTCCACTGCTACACATAAGCCTAATACAAATAAGAATCTTTTCCGAGTCATTAGCCATGATTCTCTATAATTCATATGAAGTTGTCCGTCCTACACTACGTTTATATGTACGGAGTCGCTACTCAAGCACTTTTCTTCCCATCGGATGTCGGTTCTTCGAGTTATGTGACCAGATCATTATCTATAAGTATGAAAAAAGTTATCTGCAGGAAAATCTATAAGTTGGGAATAAAATGATAGATAAATAAATCTTTTCTATAGCATAAATCAATAACTAATGTGGATAATAAAATTAATTTTATTTAAGAAATGTAAACAAAATTTGTTTTCTGACACTATTTCGATAACCTGTTGAAGTTTCATCTATATTCGATTTCAAGGTAGCCGAGCATCATTTTTGTGGAAGCAAGAAACCTTGTGAGCAAGAAGAATTGTGTCTTTGAGCTATGCCGACGGAATTGTTTATCATTTTCAAGTTGTGTATACAAAAATATATATGTTTCATTTAATAATCGTCAGTCTTTGTGATAATAAATAGCCAGCATCAAACAGCAATACAAACAATAATAAAAGCAGTATTGAGAATGTTCGTGCTATACCGTTTTTTTATTTTATAAAGCAACATCCTGAGTGATATATTGTTTAGATTTCCAATTTCCTTCACAATAGGCTTTAAAAGTTTCAAATTTTGAACTCGGCGCTCCTGTTAGGTTATGTTAGAATAACTCCGTAAAAGGTGGTTAACCTACAGAATGCAAGTAGGATTCTGAAGTAAATCGTTATATATTTTAATTACTTTCGAAATAAAATGCTTTTGGGTCAAAATAAAAGACGTACCTGATTATATTTATTTTATTTATTTACATTTTTAATCTAGAACAAATTATAAACTAAACATTTTTCATTTCCAGTTACTAACACATTTTATTGATAATTAAAAAAGGGGAAAACTTGAGTTATTTGTAATATAAATATAATAATAAATAACTAAACAATTAAAAATATTGGTCGTTTTATCATAAGTACTTATGTATGTACATTTAATTAAAAATACATATGTAATATAACCGATAAATTTACATTTCCTGTGTATTTTTATTCCATTCAATATCCCAAAAAAAGAAACGTTTCGTTAATTTTCGATTAAAATTTTCTCTAGAGGTTTTAAGCGGGCTGATATTAAATATTTGTATACTTAAATGTATTTAAATGTTGTTATGAATGATAATATATATAAAATAATAATATATGTAATATAGCGAATAGTATCTATCTGAGCATGTACCATGTAAGAATAATTTCAAGAGATTATAAATATAAATGTTAATATTAATCCTAACGACTATCAGAAAATGTGAAAAATAAACACTAACTATTAGCCACAGAAGAATATACATAGATTCAATATAACATTTGTTCATATATAAATATACGTAATATGTATTTATTTAAACTTTAATACTATATATATTATATATAAGGTAATGTAAAAGCTGCACTGAAAGTCATATGGTTAATTGATAAATAATTATCTACCGAAATCACTTATGATACACAAGGTAAAGATAAATGTTTTACGCTTCTTGTAATCTGTGATGATTACTGTTATTTAAAGTAGAACGACTCGCACATGGCAGAAAAAGAGCAGTGGTACTTACCTAAGCGAACTACATAAAATTGAAACAGCACTAAAGTTGAAGTAAAGTTTAACCATGTACATATAAATGCTTACAAAGTTTTAAATGTAAATTTAACTTGTTCTACAAAGTATCAAATTTCTATTATCAGATTGTAGTTGTATCAAGACAATAAAAAATCTTGGAATTAGATAACCTTTATTATTAAGGAAATTATTATTTGCTGAATAGATACACGATATTTTTTTTGTATTACTGAGGTGGCAAACAAGCATACGGCTAACCCGATTGTAAGCAGTTACTGTAGTCTATGAATGCCTGCAATACCAGAGGTATTACGCACGCGTTGCCGACCCTAAAGAAACCTCTTTAACCCCTTTTGAAGAACCCTATGCTGTAGTTTCTTGGGAAAATCTCGGCAGGGAGCTCGTTCCATAACCTGAGTGTTTGTGGGAGAAAACATCTCTGAACTATTTAGGCTGTGGTGTATAAGGGTGAACTCCCTGTCGATGGCGAGCCGTACGATGATAGAAAGTGACCGTGGGCATCATATTGAATAATTCTTCTGAGCATAATCTTTTTTACAAGCTGTAGAACACACAGAGTGAGGCATTTTTTTTTTATATCATTTTTAATATTTGTTAGGCAAATTTTGAGAGTAAACTTTCCTTATCATAAGTAAGTTCTCCCAGTCTTCAAGAAACTGTATTCTGTACTAAATCGCTTTATAAACTTTACTATTGACAAAATATTGTAGTTATATTAAATAAATCTAACTTTATAATCCAGATAGTTCAAACTGTACGTACCAAACATACATATACATAGCAACTACGGTAACTTTGATTACGATCTAAGAAATAAGTAAAGTGAAAAAATAAATAAATATTATATTTATTAAATATATATATAAAAATGTAAATACGTAAACAATATTATATCTATATCTTAACAATAAGAATAATTTAAGGAATATTACATTATTCGGGTATTGAAAAATTTTATGTACTTAGTTAATGAAATAAGTACCCATTTCCAATAAAAATCTTTATGGAGGAAACTCCTTTAGTTTTAAAACATAGCAATAAAAGTAGCTCGTTTCCAATTCTGTCCTGTTTGCATTGATTTGTAGGGTGTGTCTTAAGAACCTTTATTTACCGAAATAAAAGTTCACAAATTGAAACTAAGGTTGAACAACATAACGTAACAGGGTTACCGACAAAAACTCTTTTGAATAATGTATACGTGTCATAGAAGGATCATCACCCATAAATATTTAAATATATGCAGCACCGTTGGGATTATTTGGTTTGAATCACATTATATCAATATCGGAAATTTTCAAGAGATACCATATCATAATCATCATTAAAATCATGTACAAAATGACTATTTCTTAAATTACTCTAATAAAAATAGCGTATCGAATATCTTGAACAAGAGACCGATAGTTTTAAACAGATTTTAACTTTTCATACGGAGGACAGTTGCAGCGTTCATACGACTACAAATAAAATTATTTCAGTATACGTAGTTCAACATTAAAACCGTAAAACAATTAGCTTTGTGTTTTGCAGTAATTTAATTAATTGTACTAACAGGGTCGCCCTTTGTTTGCCAATTATAGAAACCCGTTTCAATAAAACGGAATGTCCGAAATAATTTGCTGTGAGTTAGCAAAAACTTATTCAGATGAAATTAATCAGAGCTATTTCAGTTTCTTTGTCGCTTAATTTGTTGATTACTTCCTAGAAATACAATTTAGCTGAGTTAGGACGCTTTTAAATAATGTTTGTCATTATGAAAATTAATTTACTTAAATCAAATTGATCAAAATTAGAAATGTCACATAGAATATTTGTTCAGTCCTAATGAACACAAGTTCAATAATTTCTTTGTCTTATATTATATGTTTATTTTAGATATCTATTTAATCTTACAATATACACGAATACATCAATAATTCCAATACTTATTATAAATATAGCAACATTTTAATTTTTTCACTTAAAATGTTACGTTATTCTTCAAGATGTACAAGTAC